TAGTATTTTATCATTAACATTTTATCTATTTAATTTCTTTAATTTTAATTGTTATATGTGTTGTATGTTTATTTACTATATGTTTTAGATTTTTGTATATACAATCTTGAGTAATATATATAATACTGTTTTATGGTAAATTTATTCATCTTAAATACTATTTTGTATTTATAAATATTTACAAATTGTGTATAATAATAGTTATGTAAAAATAATTTTTTTTAAAAATTTTCTGGACATAATTTTCCAACGCTCAGCACTGAAAAATAGTGCTATATGTCCATTTAAGGTAAGAACTATTTTCCAACACTTAGCGCTGGAAAATAAGTGATAACGGCAACTTAAAACAAGTTGTCGTTATCCATTTTTTTCCAGCGCATTTTTTGCCCTGAAAAATAACTATTTGCCACACGTTTTTTTTTTCCATCAACATTTTCCAATGCAGAATGCTGGAAAATAATTTTTCAACGCATTTTAAGTATTTTCCAATGCAAAATGCGCTGGAAAATAGGCTTTTTTGTAGTAGTGTCCGACGCTTCCATGAGAGGGAGAATCAATGTTAGAAGTAGTGAGAAAATGGTCAATGGTGACATTGTTAGGATGGTGATTTAACTCGACCTAAACTAGAATACAGGATAGGTCATCTATAAGTATTATCCCAAAAACTCTCCTTGACACATGATAGGTAAAATAATGTGTCACTTGTTTTACTCAAAATATGAAAGATTTGTTTTGACGTCCCTCTTCTTTTCAAGTATGAAACTTAGTCGTAAGTTGATGGAAAAACGTCATAGACTATATCTTAATGATAAAACGATTGGCAAAAATGAGGGATGAACTTCCTTCATTAAATGGATTAAACAACAAAAATGCCTTGGATATGTCTCCAAGGACTCTTCCAAACAAATGTGATCAAGAAAAGCTAATTAAAATGGTAAGAAAAGTAAATGATCACCAAGCTATTGAAAATGTAAATGAATTTTAAATATACTTACTGAGTTAAAATAAAACTTTTAAAAGGAAATTTAAATATAAAAAAAACAAATTAAGCTAAAGTAAATGAAACTAAAAACATGAAAAGTCTACCAACAACATAAAATATAAATCAATAGAAACAAAATAGAATATGAAATTAAATATCGCCATCACTTGATTAATTTAAAAGAATCTAGGAAAACAATAAAGGAAAGGAAGCAATTTGATTATTGATTAATTTAAAAGAATCTAGGAAAACAATAAAGGAAAAGAAGCAATTTCATTACAAAGAATTAACATTGAGGGCAACGAATCTTACCTTTACAAAATCAACAAAAGAGGAATTAAATTGCTTCTTCAGAAAACTGTAACTAATTTCTAGGATTTCTAAAGGAAACAAGATTAAACTAAGGTTAAAGACTAATGTAGGCTAAAGTGTAGAATTAAAACTAGACTAAGGGGCTTGAAACAAAGATGTATTTGAGCGTTAAAAGAATAGTGTTGAGTTTGTTGTGTGTGAGGCAAGTCTATCTTGCTTGATTTCATCTTTGTATACTTATAGCAAAAAACAACCCTTGATAGCATGCTAGAGATCTGTGGCAACATTTTGAAAACTAATAACAGCATGAAATTTGCAACAAACTGCCTAACTCATTGGTGCTATTGAGATCATGCTCCTAAAAATTCATAACAATCGAATGGCCTTGTTGA